TCTTCCTTTTTCCCTGCTTTTTCCTTTCTCGAATTCTCTGCTGTCCTTACACCATTCGCAGTACCAGAGATCTGTTAACGCTGAATGTTTCGAGAATCGACTGAAGATATAACATCCCGCAATGCAATTTAATAATCGTGCAGGTAACAGCTTGGTGTACCAGCAACAACAACAACCGTACGGAAACGGGACGAGGAACAGCAGAGGTTCGCCATCGCCCAGTCCGCCAGCCAGCACCTCATCCGCGGCGTCCCAGTGGCAGTCGACTGTTTCTGCTTCAACCGAGGCATTTTTCCCGCGTCAAGAAAACTGGAGCTCGGAAGTTTACGGGAAAAGAAGCGCGACCCCCACGTGGACCGAGCTAGGGGTTCAATTAGACGCGAGGAACTCTTCGTGGGAGAGACAGAGCAATTGCTACCAGAAGAAAGGCTCTCCCAACTCTTGGAACGCGGACTATGCTAGCAAGAGGCCTTCCTCGACAACCGGTGTATCACCCTGGAGCGAGATGACCGTTGGTTATCAACAACAACGACGCGGTTCTCTTCAACTGTGGCAGTTTTTAGTAACCCTGTTAGACGACCCTACAAACGCACCCTGTATCGCGTGGACTGGTCGCGGAATGGAATTCAAACTCATCGAACCAGAGGAGGTGTATTAGAAGCGTTGTAATAGAAATATATTGATAAAGTAATGGGATAACTTTTTAATCGTGTTTTCTAGGTGGCTCGTAGGTGGGGTGTACAAAAGAATCGACCTGCGATGAATTATGACAAACTGAGCAGATCACTGAGGTATTATTATGAGAAAGGAATAATGCAGAAGGTAGCTGGTGAAAGATACGTTTACAAGTTCGTCTGCGACCCGGAGGCACTATTCAATATGGCGTACGGTTCTGGAGCTTCTTCCAGTCTTCCCGGAGAAATACAAAATGGCGTTCGCAGTCAGTCGATATCCGGAAAAATATCAACGACGAATGATGTGTCCGATTTAGGAAAACATCCCACGTCTGGGTACGGGGATGCTGTTCTTGCCATGTACTCAAACACTGCGGCAGGTCTGTTCATTTTAACATCATAAAGATTATTAATTCTTTGGGAATAATCAATCTATAAAATTGTTCCAAGAAAATCATCGTAGCAAACAATGTCTAAAATCAAATTTGTACACGACAGTGTACGGATCGTCCAGTTTGCACCACCTGCATCAGTACCTCGGCGGCAATGACGGTTTCAAGACCCCATCGAACAGGTACCACCCTCATTACTCGCACGAGTACAACAGCAGCCACCATCATCCGCCATCGAGCTACGCAGAAACCTTCTTGAACTACGGCCGCTTGTCGTCCCACGATGTTCCCAGCGAATCCAGGAGTCAAGAATTACCGAGGATTCCGTACTCTCAGGAAACAACGGATGGTATCAGCAGAGAACGGGAGGCATCATCGATTTTATACGACGGCGTACAGAGAACGCAATTACCGACTGCTCCTGGCCTCTCGCAGCCAACCCTTTTGGATGCTACCACCACCAGCTCGAAGATAGAGCAAAGTTCCTACGCTTGCCTCGGTGTTGGAAGCTGCGTTTGCTGAATTTCTCTTTACGAAAGTTAGGAAGAGATCAATTCTCGATTAACCCTGTCGTTCAAGGGTTAGGAAATCTCTAGTCGTAGATTGTACTCGTACACATTGAACGCGTACCGACTGGGGTGAACACGTATCAGTATCGAAGCGTGTGATTCCAATGTCAAGGCACACGTTCGTCGATCGCCGCTTGAAAGCATAACTTGTAATTAGTTTATATTGGTAGAGTAAGTGGTAGAGTATACCAGTGATAGTATGATAAATATGCTTACTCTACTCGTGTAAACAATTGGGCGAATATCTAATGAAGTACTAATGCTAGTCGTTGGTAGGGTGGGATAGAGTCATGGTAGTTCTTTCACTATTTCAATGTGAATACTGGTGTTACTCTACTGTTTACACTATCAATGTAACAAAGCATAGGTCTTAATACATAAGTTGTATTGGTAGCGTAAGTAATAGAGTCCGTATATACTCTTTCAATTTTTCCACGCGACGATCGATGAACGTAAAGGGCAGGATTCGAATTCGCATGTACTGTAAAACCCTGTAAATAATCGAAAGGAAGATGCGTATGATCTATCATGTCGAATAGTCTCGTAGTCCATGAGATCTAATCGCTTGTGATCCGAATAGTTCGTTGAAACGCTGTAACTTCTGTAAATATCGAATAAATCTCTCTATTGAAACATCTTCGATTACGAATCCTGCATAAGAATATCATATTTGATGCCCGACCGTCGCGTCGTCACTACCAGATTTATCTCGTTATGTCACCGATTACATACTCGACGCAAGGAAAACTTACCGGGAATTCTTGCGATATCTTTTTGTAGCGAAAAATAAAAGCAAGAACGTTCATTGCGCGATGTGCGAATACGAATTAGCATCAGCGATCATTCGAGCTTGACCTAGACACATAATGCCAACGACGACGCGTGTGAGGTTTTCCGTGTAGATTGTGGATCCTTGTTTCGCGAACGTGTCGCTGACGTAAGACCGAGAAGACCACGGACTGAGGTCGCCGGCGTATTTCGGGCTCTGACACATAGTAGATATGTTTATATCGTCCCCTCTCTCTTCCATCGATTTCCAAGCTGCCTACCCGTCCTTCTTCCGCGCACATTTAGCGTTGTAGTTCAGCAAGAATTGGCGACTTAAGCCGGCTCCCGGTGAATCCTCCACTGTCAGTTGAGGGATCAGAAGTAGCGAATATTCAATTCAATACCTGTTGCCAGTGTACAATTCTCGAGTAAGGATTTCTTTGATCAAGAAAGGACTTGCGTGTAAAGTACCGGTGAGTACACCTTAAACATCTTTCCAATAACGTCGTTTATTTCGATCTTCAGCATTTAGTGGCTACCAAATGTACCGCGTAGTCGAGCTCGTATCGATCCTTTCGCATAGCTTCCATAATCCAGAGACGACGTCAACGATAAAACTGTCACGCTAACGTCACGTTTTCTCGTTCCCTTCTGTTTTACCTCCTGCTGGTTGATCGTTACGTTTTGCGACTCGCATTTTGCGAACGTCTTCTTTCAGCCATGGGGAAGAGCAAATCCTCAGAACCGGAGGAGTCCGCGATGGGCTTCAAGGACAAGCAGAAGGCATTGGACACGTTGAGTGCCTTGGACGGTCGGGACATCAGTTACCAGTACCACGTGATTACCAGTTTCGTAAGTCGTACGAAAAGGACCTTGCAGATCACTAGAGACGAGGAGAAGCTGGCCAATCTTGGGGAGGCTTTGAAAGTCTTCGAGGAATGGCTAAACGATTACAAGGAAAACAATCGGGGTAAAGAGAACTTGGCCTACCTGCCAATCGAGACCGTGAAAAGCTACAGAATTCTTGCCAAGAAGTACGATGTTTTGGCGGAGGACTTCTACGAGTAATTATCAACCGACCACCTGTTCATCCGGTGACCATGTGTCTTAATCGATCGTTGTCTGATTTTTCAGGGCGTACAAGAAAGAAAAAGGAGATTACAAGGGCCTACGGACCGTCAAGACCCCCAGCGGAGAGACTACGTGGGACATCGAAAGGAACCGAAGGTTGAAGCAGATCATCGATAAGATTAAACAGGATCACGTACAGTGGTTCGAGACGGACGTGGGTGACTTCCGAGGATTCCCAACTAAAGAACATGTCCAGTGCATCATGTTGGGATATAGTCCTGATCCAACCAAGCTGAAGAAGCTGGTGCCTCAAGTAGAAGAAAAGTTTGCGAGTGAAAACAACGAGAACATGGAGGTGGACCAAGAGGGCAATGACAAGGGTACCAAGAGGAGGCACGACAGTTCCTCCAGCAGCGACAGCGAATGCGAAGAACCAGAGAAAAAGCAGTTAAAACGGTCAGCTGAGGAGAAGTCAGTCGGAGAAAAAGAAGAAAATGGACTAGGTTTCAAGGATAAGGAGAAAGCTTTACAGACCATCAAGTCGCTGGAAGGCAGAGACGTAAGTTATCAGTACCACGCGATCAACGGACTGATGAAAAGGGCCGAAAGAGTGATATCGTGTACAAAGGACGAGCAAAAGATCAAAAACATGAGGGAGGCCATCGAAGTGTTCGAGAATTGGATCACGGATTACAACGTGAATGGCCGGGCGAAGGAAAACTTCAATTACCTGCCTGTCGACCTGGTCCGAGCTTTCAAACCACTCGCAGAGAGGTATAAGATCGAGGATAATGGATTTTTCAAGTAAGTCTATCAGAGTTCGAGCGTACTCCGATCGGAATAAACGATTAATTAAAATTACTTTTTCGTTTCGTTTCATAGAGCGTACGAAGAGGTGGACGGAGATTACAAGAAGCTTAGAGGCGTTCAGGTTCCAGACTCGAATGTCACGTGGGACGTAGAGAGGAACAAGAGCCTCCAAAGTTTAGTAAACAGTATCAAGGAGAAGAATATTCAGTGGTTCGAGACGGACGAGGAACTTCGTGGACTACCAAGCAAAGAACACACGCGATGTATAATGTGGGCATTCAGTCACGATATTACCAAGCTCAAGAAACTATTACCTACACTGGAAGAGAAGTTGAAATCTTAATATAACCTACTTCACAGTGTTTCACCGTGTACATCGCATAACCTGTATGTTTAAGTTTGCTACCATTGTATGTACAAAAGATATTAATTATCTTTAATAAATATAAATTATATTTTCCAATGTTTAGCATATCTATCGTAACCTTGCTGAATCAAATGTGTTTATCACGTTTGTGGCGGCATCTGACGACCAGGCAGGAACTGTCACGTGGATCGCAGTAAGGCCGCCATCTTTGTTTTCGTCGTGTACGGGTATTTCAAGATGGCGCGAGCTGTCAAAGTTTTTTGACCGCGGCACGCTCAATCGATAGTTTTTATCGCTGTCGTACAGCTCGCGAGGGTGGGTGAGTCTCGAGTCCGGTTTTGAGGTTAGGGTTAGTGACTCGGTGACACTGGAATCGGCGGTTGCGGGTTCTTGTGCGTGCGCCGCGACACCGGAAAGGACAGGTTCGTCTCACCCTTTCGGACAACAGTCGAACGCCTATGCAATCTATGGACATTGTACGAGCAACAAGATCACGAAGAATTTTGTGCGCCCATAATACGTATACGAGAAAATGGCACGCGCCCCTCGCCAGCGATTTGTTTACGCGCTACGCATCAGTTAAGTCTTACGGAACAAGAGAATCTACGTACTTTAGACCATCTATAAATAACCGTGACTTCCATCGAGGTTCGTAGACCTTTGAGTTCCTCGAGTTGAGATCTTGCGAGCAGTCGACGACGGTTCGAGTGCACGTCCCTCGAGATCGATTAATGAGAGATCGCGATGCAACACGTGACTTAACTATCGACCCGTGTCAGTACATCGTACGTGTTTGACGCCAGTCTCTACAGAATCTTATCTTGACTTTGTTGGTGATTCGAGAAGGAGAATCGTTTCCTGGAATAGTCTACCAGGGCAACGAAAGAAATCTGAGATGCGAGTGTGACAGCATAAAAGAGGAGGGTCGCTTCTTCGAGGGAATTGAACGAAAAAGAAAGATGGACACGAAGCAGCCGGATAGTGCGCCGAGAGTTGGTTACAATGGATTAACAGAGAAGTAAAGTGAAGATGTCACAAACCGCGGATGCTGAAAGTGAAGCAGGCTCCATCTGCGACGAGGAACGCGTTAGGAAGCTGTTCCAAGCATGCGACGGCGACGGAGATGGTTTTATCGACAGGTGAGTCCAATGAATTTACATATTAATTATACTCTCTACCCCTAACCCTTGACACGACCATCAAGGATCGGGTAGACGCTGAAACTATTTTGATATTACTTTATCAACTTATGCATGCATATCGTCATCAAAACTTGTTTCACGTGACCACTAAATGCTCCGAGTACTTATCAAAGCGACAACTTTATAAACTTTGACACAGTTTAAAAAATTGGTACAGACGAAAGGATTCTGTCGCGTGTAAAACGAATCGGAAAAAGTTCACCGGTAACGGAATCGCGGCACGTACGCGTTTCAATTATTAGCTCGATTAATTAGCCAGTTTGAATGCGAGTCGCGCGACGAATTAAACCGGGAACGCGTTCTGTTTTCCCGCTACCTTCGGATGAATAAACTCGCAAAGATAATACGACTACGGGACGCGCGCACGACGCAGCCATGGTTTTTTTCCTTCTTTGTCGTTAAACGCATAACCGTTTCCCCGATATATTCAACCGTTTTCCTCTTTCTCTCTGCTTCTCCGTGCTTCTATTCTTCGAAGCGGTGGCTGGGTGTCGTTGCTCCCGCTGCGACCTACCACCGTATTCAGTGCTTTTTAACGAAAATTAGCTGTTAATTCCTTGCTCGGAACCACGGAGCTGCTGCCACCCCGCGCTTGGCATTCTTCTTCACCGGAAACGAGCGAGTTTGTTGTGCGTCAAAGCGCAGATCCGTGCGCGTTCGTGACACAAGGACAGCCTACGTTCCCGTAACAGAAATATGTATCGTTCCAAAGGTTTCTTACCGATACGTAATCGCGTAACACTACACGGTAGAAACACAGGAATCTTATTATGGGTAGTTAGCCATTATCTTCTATCGTTTGTATAAATGGCGCAAAAATTAAGATACGATCCATTTCGTTAGGAATACAAACAAGTCTGGCCAATTAAACTGTCCGTCTGAAAGATGATATTCGAGCGTTCTGGGGGGGCAATTTCCGTTGTGTGCACAGACAGCGTCGTTTCTGAGCGTCGATAATAAAGGCTTTCTCTGATTCGAGGGACTGGAGATGAAAATAAAAGAACGTAAAGAGGAGAGGAAGAAAGAAAACGTGGAGCGTTTTCGCGTTTCCCTGTGTTGTAAAACTCGCCATTCCAGAGCTACCCTCTGGAAAGATCGTTCTCCTCGAACAGCTTCTCACCCTTCGACTTGTACTACTCCTAAATGCTCCCCCCGTAACGTTTCTCCCCCTTGTCTTACTTCCCGATTACCGCACCCCCTTTTTCGTCTTGATATATCGTAGAAATAGGCAATAGGAATACGAATTCCGTGCTAGTCTTTCGGTTCTTCTTCCCCTTTTTTTCACGGATCGATAACCGGAGAAATTATCTCGGGCTAAAAACGTTTAAAATTTGGAAAAACGCATAGAAAGGTGTATTTGGATGGCAGAGCGTTTCGATTCAATGGGGGGGTCGTGATTCGAGGGTTAAACCGTGAGAAAATGTAGAGAAGGAGGAGTCAGGTAACGACTGCCATTAGTCGAAATTCAGAAGAGCAAAATTTCCTTTTGCTTTTCAAGGTTCATTATTGTCCGTTCTCCGCAGCCTCGTTAACCTTAGCCTGGTCGAGATTCGCGTGTCCCGAACCCCGTCGTACGTCTCGTTGGCTTCGTAAGCTTCCGTATCTTTCAAGCACACGGTCCTTGCCACCCCTTTTCGAAACTCCTGCATTACTTGGTGTGCATCCAACCGGATGCAAGCTCGCGAGATTGCGAACGAAACCGAACCCTCGAGTGCATACTTACGCAACTTCCCTCTGCGTCTTGCTACTCCTTCATCTTCTTCTTTTTTCTTTGCCTAACTCTTTCTTTATTCTTCACCCTTTGTCCCTCGACTTTACTCTACTCTGCTTTATCCATTATCTGCTTCTTGCTCTGCACCTTTTTTTTCTGTTCGTTTATCCATTTTATCGTTTGTCCTTTAATTTCACTTCCTCTGTCCCCTTTTCAAAGACCTATGCTTGCTCCACTAATCGTTCTTTACAGTTGTCATTACTTTACATTCTTAAGGCTCTTTGTACCTCGCCAATAACTCTCTCTCTATCTCTTCATTTTTCCACTTTCTCCCTTGTTTTCCCTCTCACAATTACTTGCTCGCTTTCTGTCTCTTACTTCTACCAATTTACCCTTACCTCGACTCTGTTTCTCTCCCCCCTTGCCCCTTTGGGCTGCGTGCGTTGGTTACGAAGGCAGTTTCGCGTAAATGCCCTCCTGTTCGCTTTGCCGGCACACGTAGCCGAGGCTAAGATCAAACGATCAGCAGAGTCTGCTCTAGAAAGGGGTAAATCTCATTACCCGAAAAACGAAGTCGTCTCGGTGAGATGGAATCACCGTGTTTTCAACCTACGGTGCTTAATAATGCTCTTTGATTTTAAGTTCAATCATTTGTATTGTGCGATGGTAAATTAAGTTTGCAGAATAATTAATTGATATTTTAAATTAATTGAAATATGTACAAGTTTGCGATCGAAGAATTTTGATGGGATCTGGTAGAAATACCCTAGGGTTGCACGAAGGGTGATCGCGTTTTATAGCAAGTGAGTCACTCCTCCATCGATCCCTCTCCTTCGTTTCGCTGTCACGATTATTCTGGCGTCCTCCATGGAGTCGGCTACGTTTGCAAATCCCCTCGCCATTTTTCTAATAAAATCTCGTTCGTCTTGGAAAACACACACGCGCGATCCTTGTCCTTGAAAAATTCCGAACGAACATGGGTGCACGAGTGGAATCGAAGCGAATGAAAGTGATCGGATTTTGATTAACCCTTTTACCATGAAGGGTGTACGTACACGGTTTCCAAAGACAGATGGCCAATCGCAAATGGCGTATGTTCTTTCCGAAGACCAAACGCATGTTCGAGTTCTATAGTAATTTTTCCAGGTTGAATAAAATGGAAACGCGAGATAGCTGTTTAACGATATCGATACAAAGGCTTACGTCTTCTTACGTTTCGAATTCAACTTTGTCGATGCTAAGAACACGAATGCCGCTATCGAAACGATAATTAACCAGCAGATGGTATCGCGAGAGATGATTTACGAAGTCCAAGATCAATGATAGATATTCTACAGCAACGATATCTTCCGCCTTCTAATGTTTTTCGAGCCAGTCCCGCATGAAACGTCCAACTTGAACCTGCACCTTGAAAAATCATAGCCTTTTCGTTACTATAATTTAAAGATCCCCTCGACCCTTGACACTCGATTAACCGCGGAGGTACCTGCACGGATTCTTCTGGTCTCTACAGCCTGTTCGTCCGTTACCTCACCTGCAGGGTTATTCCTGACCTGGCCGAACCTTTGGCACGCAACATGCCATGCAAATGCATCGTGATACCTCGCGCGAAATCATCGTTCGCTCTTTACAATCATTGCTGCGCCGTAAGTTTTCTGAAACGAGCCTAATCTCCGTGGAATCCGGAAAAATTCCGAAGCGGTTGAGTCAACGGGCACCGGAGTGTCCCCCGATAAACGTTTCCGAGTGCTCGAAACGGAGTTAAAATTGCCACGGGTACGCACGGTTCGGTGAAAAATCCGTTAAGAACAATCGCGGGATCGTCGGAGCGTAAGACGAGTATCGTTTCGCGTGGTTAACGATCGAGAGATCGATCGGCGAGTCGAGGAGCCGACAATTAACCCACGTTTCGACCGAACCGACGCGACTGATGCTTCATCGAAGCCAGAGACCGTCAGTCAGGGTTGCTGGTTGATTACGCGGAAATCGAAGCCCCTTCAAAAGCGGCCGGAACAAAAAGACTGGCTGAAAAGGGGAAAGGAGATAACAGGATGGGCTTCGCGAGGACAAAGGACAGAGGATGGATGCGTTAAAGGGTGCACGAAACACGGCTGTTCTCGCAGTGAAAACACGGCATTAGGTAATGTTTCGTTTCTCCTGCTCGCTTTTTCCTCCCTTTTCACGACGCCGCGCCCAGCCTCGGCGGAGGCTTCGCCACCTCTCGCCTTTTTGTTTTTAATGGCGGACCTATTCCGGCGTATCCAACGGGAACAGCGAGAAGCGTCTGAAAAGGGACGAGGATTGCCTGAAGGAGTACGGGAGTCCTTTTTATCCAACGATGTGCCCGGTCGGCGAAGGGCGAACGAAATAGAGCGGAACGCGCTTAACATGAAATACCCGTGTCGCTTTTCACCGGGCTCCTGCAACAACCCTCTTCCTTGCTTCCCTCTCTGCTATTTGTTCAGTTTTTCGGCATTTCCGGGACTGATCCTCGCTCGCCTCCTCATCCTCCTTCTGGTTCGCTGCAACCTCGACCTGGAAGGGCTCTTCGCCCTTGGGAGTCGAGGGAAGCCAATCCAATCGTCCGATCCTCCAGCTCGAGTATCTTCTTTAACGCGTTGATTATCACGGTGGCTCGTGAGAATCCCTCTTTGGTTGGCTACCGTTCTCAAAACTTTCAGCGTAACCAAACTACCCCCGATTCGATTGAAAGTTTCAATCTAGGCGGCGTCGAATTAATTAAAGCCCCGAAAGCAAGCCACGTAAAAGCTGATAACGCAGAGGTAACGAACAAAAGCTACCCGTTTCGAAGCGACTGTTGCAGAGTGCGCGTCGTTAAACAGATCGCGTTTGGAAGCTCTTTCAACGGAGGACAAATATCTGGCACGGAGGGCAGACGAACAGTAGCTGGATCGGTGCTGCAACACTTATTGGGTCGGTTGCCGCATTGTGCGTTGCTTTTGTAAGCGAAGCCCCCGGTGACATTCACCCGGCAGTGGAGAGCTTTCCGATACAAAAGGGGGGTTTGCACCCGCGAAACAGCGAGCTTGTAACGAGTCGTGCTTCGTCGTTCCGGGGAACGATGCTAGGTAACGTCAGCCCGAGACGTCCACTTTTGCTTGCTCCAAAGGGGTTCGTTGTTCGTCGTGAGTGCGACCCATTGTGAAAATCATTTCACCCGTGGAAATGCTGTGGAAAGGCAAAACATTCCACTCTCTTTCTTTCTTTTCTTCTCTTTTTTTTTTTTTTTTTTTTTTTTTTTAAACGCTCAGCCTCATCGTTACACGTACTCCTTTCTCGTCGTTTTCCTTTCTTCTTCTTCCTTCGACCACGATGACCTCGATACACTTCAGAAATCACAGCGCATACGTGCATTATACGTTAGAAAAAAAATATTCTGTGCTTAAGGGGTAATACTTCGACCGCTTCAAAATTTAAGGCTTTTTCGGGAATTTTTTTCTAAGAAGTGCAAAGTGTTTATGAAAATCCAATTATACTAATTTATTATGCATATATTAAAGTAGAAATCGTTTTTTTTTTGTTGATGTATGAAAAATGGCGGCTCGGCAGGTGATGATCAAAAAAAGAGGGTCAAATGAAACAAAAAAACTTGGATTTTTTAGTCCAAACGCTAGTGAAATACGTAGCCGTTTTCAGAAATATGCATTTTTAATAAAATGGCATCGATTTAAAGTAAAACATCAATTTTCCACCAAAAATTTCGTTATTCCAAGTTGTACAGAAAATCGAAATATGAATATTTTGAAAAAATCCTACGTATTTTACTAAAAAAATGTGACGATCAAATTGCAAAAAGATTCAAGTAGATTGATTGAAAATTTGCGGAGCTAGAGTGCCTACCGATTTTAAAAATGCTGTTTCGAGTGAAACGCTTTTAAAGTTCGTGAATAGAAACGAAAGTTAATCTGCGATTCCAGGTCTATAAAGTAATCCTTCTGCATTAATAAGCGAAAAAGAAATGTCGAAATTTTGAAGCGGTCAAAGTGGTGTTACCCTTTAGCTCAGTCTTTGAGATATCCTCAAGTTGATAGTCGAAGAATGAATTCACTTTTTCTGAAGGGAAGGCAACGACAGTCACCGACGGTGCCTCCAATTGTTTCGCAACAACCGTGTTTCCTGATTACGCTCCGAGCCACTTTCTTCGTCCCGAGACGAGGCGTTGGATATTGTATAATGGTGCGAACAGAAATTACCACGAATAGTTTCGGTAGATTCGTTTCCCGTTTCGAACAATGCGGCGAGAAAACGAGGCGATGTCAATGACACGCGGCACTCCTCCTCAGCGGCGTCGTTCGTTGCACTCGACGATACATCGAACGCTGCATTTTCTAATTGAGCTTCCCTTGACCCTTCGTCTTCTACTGGTGTCAGCGATTTGACTCCTCGCATCATTTTTCCGTGTAAACTTTTTCGTCGTTATCTCTCGAGCGAACGACGCGAAATCTCTTAATTTCACCTTGATATCCCGTAATGATCCAACCGATGTCCGTCAGTTTCGCCGGACGATGGAGCCGACCGCGAGAGAGGTAGGACGTCTGGACAGGTAGAGCGATCTCGCGAACGTATTTAAAATAAAAGCCATGTGTCAGCCGTAAAACCGCACACAGGACGTCGAGTGACACGCATCGCGGTGGATTAAGTCGCGTTCATTTCACGCTGCCAAGAATCGTCTCTCTTCCTCCCTGGATTTTTGTCCCTCCCCTGGTGTCTGCGGAATCGTTGTGCAGCACGTTGCACCCGACCATTGCAGTGGCACTCGTTGCATCGTCCCGATCGGACCTTAAATCGCGTGCGAACTCGCGTGTCACCAGCTACCGACCGACTACTCGCGGGGATGGAGTCGTCCAAGTCGTGGGAGGCCAGGACCCTCAAGAGACTTTGCTACCGTAAACTGAAACGCAAGATCTCGCGTTGGTACGTAGCTTTATCATCTGTTTACGGATAAAAAAAGAAATAACAGAGACAAAGATCATCGAAAGTGATTTTCAAAAGAATCGTGGTGCATTGTCCATCGCGTTCGCTATTCATGAAATAATCGATGCTGATAATTGCTTCATCGTACGAGCCACGATCCGACTCATCAGTCCAATTAGCCACGCGATCAATAACGTCTACAGAATACCAGATAACGTCTGCCTGAGATACGCCTCCTATAATTAACCCCATGATTGATTCCCATTTCAAATGATGGACACCAATCCCGGATGGATGTTGCCTCTCGCGGACCATGACTAATTTAATCAACGAACAGACTCGATGCTCGCTTAAAGTATCAGCTCGTTGAATAGAATACAGGAGGTAATGCCTTTATGACTTATAAATGAAATTTTTATTTTACGTGCCAAGTGCTTGAAATTAAGCCTCGAGTAACAGCCACTCGCTGTTAACCCAAATCCTCTTTTACGAAACTTGTACGAGCCGTCTTAAAGCAACCTACTCACCGCTCGAATGCTCGTTGCTTCGCGAGATCTCGAGCGTGTTATTCGCATTAACGCGTTCCTGCTTCCTTTTCGCGGTGTCTTCGAGGTTGAAAAAGACCCCGAGGATATCGGTTGAATGGCTGCAAGAGGTGTAATACTCGAATAAAGGGCTCGACTCTGTCGCCTAAATTACGTAATTCTTACGTGCATTGATTGCATCCTGTTAATTATCCTTGAATAAACAGCCTCACCCTTTTCCTTCCATCGTCCTTTCATTTGTACCGTAATGGCCAAGCTATTTAACACTTTTATAAAGTCGCGATTCACCGAATTGATCCGAGGCACAGTTAAACATTTCTCGTGTAAAATTCGTAAAACGTTTTCTTGGAAAATGAAACGCAGACACGGTGTTGAAATAACAAGCCTTTTGCTGAATTTCGTTGAAATTCCATTGCCTCGCGTTTCACACTTGCTCGAGCAAACATAGGAGAGACACTGCGGAATTAGATGATCCCGCGTTATCTGATCGGCGTCATACTTCCTCGCGTTCCTCGCGAACCTTCGGGGAAATAGCGAAAAGTTTTACGGTAGAACGTGAGGAAAGTTTCACGAGCAACTTCCAGGCGTTTCCCATCTCCGTTTTCTTCGGCCAACTCCCTTTTTTCTATCCCTAGAAAGCATACGCTGTTCTCGAAAAAAAGAAAAGAAAAGAAATTCCTCGACTTCTGTTTTATGTCTTCATTATCTCTTTTCAATAGATATCGAAAGGTCATTCTCATAAAATGTACATTTTATGCTTTCAAAGTTTCCTGACGGGATAAACTCCCGAAATGACGAGTTAACTGATAATCATAAAGTAAAGGGTTGGACGAGTTGGAGCACACTTTGGACCACGCCTTTTCGTTCTCGCATCGCAACAAAAGACGACGTCCTGCAGAGAAAGAGAGAAAGAGAAAGAATCCCTTTTAACGATTTTCTCCGAATGTCCGTGTCGGCTCCACAGAGCCAGTGAATCTTTAATTCACTTCTATCGATCAGTGCTCTCGTCTCCGTGTGTTCGTCTTCCACGTAATTCACCGGTATTCGTCGTATGACGATATTTTTTAATCGGCCTTCCACCGATACCGCTCCTTCATCCTCGATGTCAACGAAAATTAACAGGGACACCGTGGAACGGTTTATGACCTCGGCAATTTTAATTAACTCGTCTTAACGTCCTACCAGAGGCGTCCTCCACCGTTCCTCGCGACGTTTCTTTAATCTCGCCACCGAGAATATCGAGCTATCTTCGATCTATGAATTATTCACGGAATAAATTATTCATGACACCGGGGATCGTTGTTACCCTGCTTTTCCGTTCGATACGCGATCGCGTGGAAAAACACGCGACTTTGGTCGGCTCTTGGTGAACAACTTTTGAATGACAAACACGTTCTCGACACCATGGATACCACGGGAGAAAACATAGCTAGTAGGGCACGTTTTAATGAGCATTATTAAATCGCCAATTATTTTAAGGACACGACTAACCAGATATTCTTCTTTTTGAAATTTCAGCCAGGACCTGTTGACGGTATGCAGAGAGCTGAATCTGGAGAATTCGGTGGAGGAGTTGATGAGAGAATTAGGGGCGGACGAGCACGGTCGCATTTCCTATCAAGAGTTCCTCAGACGACGTTTGGCTCTGCGACCGGAAATCGAGGCTCTCAGGTCAGGCAAACATCGGACTAGTCCTCACCACACGCACACGCCGGAATATTTGCCTACCAGCAGTGACAATAGTCTAGGTAAAACTCGCGCGTACAATTATTATTGTTATGCAACAACGTGTTATCGTCTATGCCTTTTAAGCGCAATTTCGAGCGATTCTTGTCACGAGGATGGTACAATGACGTAACGTTTCGTCTGTATTCAGGCACCGTGTCTGGCAGGCATGAAAGTTGGGAATTCGACAGCGGTGCACGCGATCTCTCGCCAGAACCCCACACCCTTCAGAAGCTAGTCGAAGCTGCCGCAGGTGGAACAGGAAACATGCTCGACTTGGCAAACAAGGTAAGTTGGAACGATTAAATCGTTCCTTTATCCTCTTAAAACGCTTATCAGGGAACCGTTGACGATACCGTTCCCATCGAATCCGAAAAGTTTCGCTACTGGAAGCCAGGAAACTGGAGCACTCGCTTGGTCTTCGCGAACGGCGTTGCCTCTCCGCGAAGGCTTCTACGTCGAGTGGGCAAGAAAAAGGCGAAAAAGGGAAAGAAAAGAGATTTGAAAGAGGGTCTGCCGGTATATAGAACCGTGGCGCGGCGTGAAACTGCCAAGTGTAAATTACCCCTCGTACAGCCAGCAACTAACTTCTTTCGCCGGAAAAACGCTGCTGCATTCAGTTTTCTTCCACTCTTGTTCTTCTTTGCTCGTCCAGTTGCTACCTCTTTTGCCACGATTCCACGGACTCGAGGAATCTCTTCGCTGGTTGCGATTAACGCACTGCTTTGGACTTCGGCCGCCGTTCTACAGGCTGCTTTAAAACGGACGCGCGCCCTGAAAATTACAAATTCTTCGTGGCGATAGATTATTGTTAAATGAGCCTAGTACGGCTCATAACCCGCTCTGCCATTCCCAAGTTTTCATTTATACCGGCGGTGTTAAAGGGTGCAATTCACTCCCAAGCAGCCACTTATGGGCTGGCCAATCATCGTACGGGTACGGAAGACCCAACGCTTGACTCATTGTCGGCGTGTAAGGAATTTTGGTCTAGGGACATCTATTTTTAACAAATTAACCTGAGTGGGTTAGCAACTACACTCATCAGGCGCTTTGCGCCCTTAGCCAGTGCCCCGTTTGCCACCGGAATTTCCGGTGCCCGGACCACACCACGAGGAGAAAGGGTTGGCATATGACATCGCTGGGGCTGGCTGCAAGGCCCCGAACGGCACCTTGTGGTCCCGTGGCGATAGAAACCGAAACTCCCATTCGATTAAAAAAAATTAATCGTATTCCTGCGTGGTTGCAAGGAGAGGTAAAGCCAGGGTGCGATTTGCCTCGCGAAAGTGCACCATCGAACGAGTAGCTTGAATTACCTTTCTTACTGGCTGTTATCTTCTTTCCCCGTGAATTTGCATGATTACGCGTACGAGAAGGCAGCTCCTTCGAGCCGGATAATCGTGCTTCTCGTTTCATCGTGGCCGAAAGATGGCTAGGAGAACGCGAATTTCCTACTACTTTTCGCGCGTTTGTCGGAGATGATCTTGCGGACGTTAACCCTCTGCCGAGCCAACTGAATTTCCATGGAAATGGAGCATGGCATACGGTCAGAGGCGTCGAGAGAAGCCGGTAAACTCAACGATATCGTTAATTCTCGCTGCTTATCTACCGAAGATCGCGAGAACGCGCAACAAAGCTTGTTGCATTGAACACGTCGAGAGTATTTAAGAGATATTCGACCCTCGAAACACTCGTCATCCCCGGATTAATTGAGTTACGAATGAACATAATCACGTTTAACCCAAGCTGCGCTTCTTTTTCATGAATAGAAAGCAGCTCATCGAGCAAATATACCGGGCGTTGCCAGACAGACTTTGCCCGCAAGCGAGCTGGAAACTTGTGGTAAACTACGAAACGCACTTTACAGTCGGGGCGTTAACAAACGACTTGGAAGGTTCACAGTTTCCAACGAGCTTTACCACCCATCTAAATCTCAGGCTCCTCTTTTCCTTGGAGCCGGTGCGGTGCGCTAGGAACCTTCACGTTTACCAGCAAACCGCATCGTTCCTATCGATCACGAACTCTGGCAAAAACCTCATCCAACCTACCTTCTATAACTCGCTTCCGGTTCGTTCTTCGACATATACTTCGATTGACCTACATCACCGCTGCATTTCAACAAGTTTTCCGAGCTTCATCCCCGAGACACGCCGTTCGAAACTCAACTTCTAACGAATTATCGGTGATCAACGAGTGAATTTTTCTCGCGAATGTTAAGAAACACGGCTGGTTGAAATAGAGCTGGATAAATTCTTTCTGGAGCATGCGGCAACGGTTGCCGTTGCGGTTACGTGAACTATGCGCCCGGCGTGATTGCAGATAAACCGTACATGGCTTATTACAGATACGACGGATTGAATTAAGCAGCACGATTATGGTATGCTTTGTAGCCGTTATCGTTGGCCCACGGTACAGGCTACACGGCTGCGATTTGACCAGGAACAATAGCTTATCAAACGTGTAATCTTATATCGTACCGGTATCGTCCCCGGCCAAGCTGATAACTTTCCTGAAACGTTATTCAGGTCATCGATCGATGAAACTCTTCCCAAGAAAATGTTTCGGTGTGGCCTGGCCGTACCACGACATCGTCCTTGCCTCTTATTGCTAAACATTGTTTTATTGGATGCCTGTTTAGGGTATCAGGACTCGCTATCAGAACTTCTTTGCTCCTCCTACCGGTCATCTTTGTTCTGCTTCTGAACTTACGTATGGTACGTGGGTTTATTTGAATAGCAAAAGGTTCGTGGGTAAGATAGATAGAGAAAAATATGTATTCAAGCTGTGGACAAGAACAGCTAACAGTGATCGATCTTGTAAATTTAACCCTTTGCAATTGTATTTATATTTAAGAAGGCTACCAATCAACTGGGGAATTTTTTTTCATACTCGATCAAAATGAAAACATTTTTATGGGAACATATTACAATTTAACTTGCCGTTTCAGTAGAAAAAATTAGAAAAATGTATGTATAATAATAAAAAGTAAGATGGCGATTATATGGCGACATACGAATGGAAAGGGTTAATTTTGATAAATTGATGATGCGTCCTATTAGATATGACTATTTCTTCTGTAACTAACAGAGTGTGGTCCGAGTTACCATCAACCTCTGCAATTCAAGTTTCCCTAAACCATAGCCAATCGATTCTCCTCGTCACGACGTGCTAACCTTTCTTGCTTCAGAACGGAATAAATTGCCAATGTTATAACGTGCAAATCAATTTGCAACGTTTGCACAGCCTAAACGTATTATCGATCTGGTCAGACGGTTCCACAACAGAGAGTTCCCCCGTCTGCGACGTAACCCATCGTCCAGCCCACCGATTGCCAATAAAAATCTGTCTCATTTCATCGAACGGATATCCAATATCGTGGTACGAGCTTTCTCCTGTTCGTAGGTGGAGAGACTTTTACATGGAGGAATGTTTTTCTAGGCCAAAAAGATCGTTACTTTCCATCGCGACGGTTAGCAACGTGTTCCTTCTTGCCCGGATATTTACTTCCGTCCTTTGCCTCGAGAATTTCATCCTGGTTCGGCGTGCACCAGCCTCCAGACGAATTCTTCGACCCAGACGAACCGCGTCGCAATAAACCCTAAGGGCGTCTTTACACGCAGACAATATATCGACGCGAAACATCCTTCGTACGTGCTTGCAATTAACGGGCAATCTTATTTCTTTATTAACGCGTCGGCTCTTTATTCAACGTTTATCGTCCCTTTTATTCGCTTTTATAAGCTACGCGCCAATGAATTCCCGAGGAATTTGCCAAGGACAACCGCGTACCATGAATTTTCTACTTTGCGTTATTATTAAAATATTTACCTCATTTCGAGCGAGAGAATTTTGAGTGTACCACTCCGCGGAGCTTTCAGCATCAAGAGTTATGCCCAAGAGTCTTTTGTTCTTTATTTCTCCACCTCTGAAACGTCTGCCTCGTGTTAATTGAGAAATTAGCGAAGTTAATTAAGAAGCCACACGGGCTGTCTTCTTAATTACACCAACACCGTCGTACCCTTTGCGACGTTCCCTTTCTTTTCCCTTAATTTTAACGATTTCCCCTCCCTTTGAATTCTCGCAATTCCAACTTTCATCCAAACTTTTGCCCCCGATTTGCATATCTTCCCTGAAATCTGAATCGGCGTTCGCTTATCCTCCGCTTTCGTTCGGCTCTCGATCGAATCGAGACTCTTTGCTTTTTTGCGTAGAATCGACTTTTAAGAATGTCGTTTCGCCGTTACGCTGGTTGCTCAGCGAACGCGGTAGGTGGACAAATATTACGAGTCGACAAACAGGTGTGGCATGCCATTAAAGGAGAGTTCTCGCGAGCTAGAGATAACGCATGAACGATTGAGCAATTTTTTTTTTTTTTTTGAAAATGTTGAGAATCTTAGCCAAGATGGTGACACACTAACACAGTTCGCAATCCCTTATTTGCATTCGAAGTTTCCAATAGCCGCGTCGGATTGTCAACACTTTCAGCGTAAGTCGGAGGCTACCTCAGAGAGCGCCGCCTTTTCTCTAGCTTTACCTCAGTCACAACGCGTTCCTACGTAATTATGTCAGGTACAAGTTCCACGTCGTTGGACTTTAAACGGCGATCGCTCGTCTGCCATTAATGGAATCGCACGTGCAATCTCGATCCCTATTTCTGTAATCGAACAGAGTCATTAGTCGCCGGTGATTTTCACACTTCCTGGCAATAAATAACCGGTGAAACGAACACCTTCGTGACTTTGCTGTTATAAAGGATTAAGGTTGTTGCTTATCGAACGACCGACCTAGAAACACAGGGAGTCTGATATGATTTAATGACATCGAAGTATGCTTCGAATTGATACGTCATCGGATCGTGTCAGACCTTCTGCATTTGAAAATCAGAAGTTATTCTTTGAAACTAGCATAACTCGATCGATTATCTTGGATGAATCGTTCAAAGAAGAAGAACATCGAAGGGAATCTTCGTTTGAAAAGAAGAGAAAAAAAAAAAGAATAACAGACTGCTGTCACTATTGCGGACAAGAAGGAAAGGCGGTGGTGGAGATCGAACTGGCCGATATCCGGTTTTTTCGCGGGTAACGCGAGCATATTACTTTTATCAGCCGCAATGGTCGAGCTGCGTCGCTCTGTATAACGCGACAATTGGAGCAAGCGAGACGGAGGAATCAGAGCTTTCGGTGCAACGAGCCATAAGATCGGCGCCTCTCGGCGCCATTCGGACGCCCTCGGCTGGCCGCTTCGGCAAATGCGAAAGGGGTGTGGGAGAATCGGTGGTTCAGTTCGTCACC